CACCCTTTCTTCAGTGCTTGCCGTCCACCTGTTATCACCAATTAGGACAAATGACTGGGATTCCTTTAAGCACACATTAATAGTATTTATGCTATGATAGAGTTTTTAAGCTAGTAAAAAAACAAAAGTAATGACCATGCCCCTCTCTCCGGTGTTACCTTAAGCAACCCCCCTCCCCCTAAAATGATTGGCTGGATCCACCTCTCACTGTACGGTACTTCCCTTCACCTTAGGGTCAGATTAGAGATACAGACTTTCTTTTTTTTAATGCACTATTTCATATTTAAATAAAGACAGCCGCATTCACACTTATGATTTTTAAAGCTACATGTGTAGACCGAAAAAGCATGTATATGCGACCGATGGTATAGCGTCCTGTACAAACAAACAGTATTGCTCATATGCTCTACAGCAGAATGCTGAATAACATCACTGCCTTGAACAATAGCTTAAAAAGAAACCTCTTCGTGGTGAATGGGAGAAGTGACATATTAATCTCTTTTTTGGCATCTAGCATCAAATACTATGCTAAGTCAGAGTGAAATATGACAAAGACAGGCAATAATAATACAACACTTCTGGTTTGTTCAAATGTCTATAATGAAATGCAGAGGCATAAAGAAGAGGATAAATATGGTGCTACTACATGTACATGCAACAAAGTAGAACCTCAATACTAATTACTTAAATTCAATTAGTTCTATGACTATGGAGATCGCCAGCAATGCTTTTACTGAATGATGTTACCCTCTTCATGAGATACAATAAAACACCACATTTGAAATATACAAGTTTTCTGTTTACTAAGTTGAGGCATTTGTTATTAGATCATTTGTGATGTATTTGACAATCTGTGCAAATGCATAGCAATTTGAAACAGCACCTGTTAAATCAGAGCAAAAATACTCTATTCATTACAGTGAAGTTCAATATGTTATGACACCATCCTGACACGCTAAAGAAAATCTGAATAATTTGTGACAATCTTGACTTCAGAAGTATTTGAATTTCTAGACATTTAATGTTCAGGTATTAGCAGTTTGTTATAAAAAGATAGGAAAGAAGCTATATAAAGAGGAAAAATAGAGCTTAGTATAATGTTGTTCGGAGGCCAGCAAAAGAGCTTAAGACCTAAAAAAACAGTTGACTTTCCTTGGTGTTAGCGAAGGGCGTTAAAACTCCATTGCCAAAGACTAGCAAAGGCTTTTTTTACAAAAGATCTGTACATGGTGACAGACTCCCAATAGTGCTGTGATCAAGTGCTTCCAGCTTTTATTTAACTGCAAATAACTTGCTTAAACTACCGCAGCTGTTGTTTCGTACCTATTGATCACATATTTTAGACAAATACTATTACGCTGTGCTATAGTCAGTAGGCATGGAGTACCATTTGAGTGCTTTTTAAAAACTAATGGACCAGCTGTTGTCGATCGTCTGAGCATGTTTTCACAACCAAAAGTTTACACAGACAAATGTTACAACAATAGAATTTATTATGCATTAAATCTGCCAAGCAGTGGTCTTTGAGTTGCAGTTGAAAATTGCAATATGGTAGTGCATAATCAAAGTGTCAAGGCCCTCCACTGCCCTGGTCCTTTTATTAATGTATGAGATGTGGTCTTTTGTTAAATAGTTTGCATTATGAAGTGGGAAAAAGCAACAAGACCATAACTGACATTTTTTGTCCAAAATAAATGACTGCTAGATCATGAAAAAAAGATGCACCGATTGAAATACGCCGCACTTAACTGCACTGTGGAATGTACCATAATGTTAACGTTATCGTCTGCCATAAACATATCAAACAACACCTTCACATACAATCAACACCTATACATAGCCTTCATAGAGTACGAGAAGGTGTTTGACTCAGTCAAGACATCAGCAGTAATGCAGGCACTACTGAATCAGGGCATCGAAGAACGCTACATAAACATACTGGAAGAAATCTACAGTGGATGCACAGCCACCATAAAGAAAGCGGCAGAATTCCAATAAAGAAGAGTGTAAGGCAGATAGATACAATCTCTCCAGTGCTATTCATCTCGTGCTTACAGGAGGTTTTCAGGACCCTAGCTTGGGAAGAGTTAGGAATAAGAGTTAATGGAAAGTATCTTAGTAACCTGCGATTCGCTGATGACATTGCCTCGATGAGTAACTTAGGAGATGAATTACAGCTCACGATTACAGAACTGAACATGGAAAGCAGAAAAGTAGGTCTGAAAATGAATGTCCACAAAACTAAGTAATGTGCTACAGTCTCAGCAGAAAACAGCACTTTCACTTTTACGATAAGTGGAGAGACGCTGGAAGTTGTAAAGGAATATGTCTACTTAGGACAGGTAGGAGCCGCGAAGCCGAACCATGAGAGTGAAGTAACTAGAAGAATAAAGATGGGGTTGATCACATTCAGCAAGCATTCTCTAATCATGAATGGTAATCTGCCACTAACCCTCAAGAGGAAGGTATATAACAACTGCATCTTGCCAGTATTTACCTACGGAGCAGAAACCTGGAGGCTTACAAAGAGGGTTGAGCTTAAATTGAGGATGACCCAGTGAGCGAAGGAAAGGAAAATGATAGGTGTAACTTTAAAAGACAAGAAGAGAGCAGAGTGGGTCAGCGAACAAACCAGGGTTCAGGATATCAGAGTTGTAATCAAGAATAAGAAATGGACATGGGCCGGGCACATTGCACGTAGGCAGGATAACCGCTGGTCATTAAGGGTAATTGACTGGATTCCCAGCGAAGGCAAACACACGAAGGGGATACAGAAAATTAGGTGGTTCCATGAGAATAAAAAGTTTGCAGGTATACCATGGCAACGAAAAGCACAAGACCGGGTGGATTGGCAGATTATGGGAGATGCCTTTGCCCTGCAGTGGGCGTAGTCAGGCTGATGATGATGACACCTTCAATGTATGACGAGGTTTAGATTTAGGTGATAAGCAAAAAGTGAGCATGCCAAAGTTGCGCTGAAGGCAAAGCACTCGCTTTTTATGCAGATCGCAATTTACAGGTGACCACTTGACACACCAATTATACAATATATGTATAATGCGGTGGCCCAATGCGGCTCATGTCAGTAGAACGCTAACAACAAAATTTGCCAAAAGCGTGACCAATAAGCTTGTTTGCAAGACCGAACATGTACACGGGCTTCTTTGCAGACGTTTTATATTTTCTAGAGACTCGCCTAAGTATGATGCATCGTTTCTGCGTAATTTTGATGTATTTAGTAGACTGCTTTTTTTTTGCATAGTCATGTAAGCAGCAGCCAAAGAAATAGAGGCCACGTGTACAGAACTGAACGGTTTAACTTGGTATAAGCATTCACGTGTGATCACCGGCAGGTGATATCGCAGTCACAGCTTTTTTTTTTTCTCTACGCTACTTGGACTACATGTGCGAGTAGTGGAAAGAATGCGATATTCATACCGCCGGTGTCACACAGACACTTGTGATCGCGGTCAGGGCATCTGCACCAATCTCGATGCTGTACAGTGCAACAGCGACAAAGTTGTTGCGCGCGATCAAAATTTCTCGAGGAAAACCGGTATTAGTCACCGCTACACGGTCCGGATCAAATACAGTGCAGCGCGAGCACATGCAGCAAGTACCAGTGTGACAGCGTTCACTAAAGCACGTCAGAGCGCTCCGCGCATTCAGAACTAACGTCCACACAGAACAGTCAGCACTCAAGCATCACCATACTCGCAAGGAATAATATCGCAATAATACAAACCGCCGCACAACACCGAAATAGAGGAAGCGCTGACACACACATAACACAGCCAGCGGCGCCTTTACATACCCGCACCACTCCAGCCAGCGTGGGCGCACCGCTAAGGACTAAAATGCTTAGGGATGTTCGCGCAATTTGGCACCTAGGCCACGCGTGGTCGTGAGAAAAGCACCTAGCGGGGAGGCTACTCTTATTAGTTCGCGGCAAGGCTCGCCGTGGCACGGCACTGACGGCAGTCACCTGTCTGGAACGGCGCTGGAATGTAATGTCACCCCCCCGCACCTCCTCACTGTGAAAACTAGAAAGTACCGTGCAGATCTCAGAGGCGCGTCAAAAGTTCAGGCCTACGAGACCGCAAAGACACTCAACTTTTTTGTTTTAAAGTGATTATATATTTTAAAAACAATAAAGCTTCAAACGCTGCTTGAGCGTGTTCTCAAAAGTATGAATTGTACCATGTTGCCTATGTTTGATGTATTTTTTTTCAATGTGAACAGTATTTTGACAGTAAAACTATTTATCTCATATTGTACTACTAAGTTTTTGAATTAAGTTCATTAAAAAGATAAAAAAGCAACATGGTAGTATAATTTAAGCTTGATTGTTTATGTTTAAAGTTTGCCTAAGTGATGACAACTTGTTTTTGTGGCCACACTTTCAATAACTGTGTTTGTTGCCAAATTTTCATTATTAAACTCATAAACCAGTGTTTATTAAAAAATTATTTAATAATTAGTTCTTCAATGTTGTTTTTTTTGTCAAAAATGAACTGTTTATATTCGAAACTAATCATTTTAAAGTACAATGTTTACTGATTTTTGTAAAACTTGTAGCTCATAGTTGCCTAAGTTTTGAGCACATTTTAAGCTATAGTCAGTGGTATAACGTTTTTTTTTCTTGTTTTGTTTTACTTAAAATTATTGATATCTACAACAAAATGTTTCTAATTTGCTTCAAAGTTGGCAGTAAGTTTGAGTGTTTGAGCTGGGTTTGTGTATTTTGCCTCATTGTGGCCAGACATTCGTGATCTGTGCACAGTTGAGGCGTCGAGGTTCAGCATGAAAGCGTACAAGCAATTTAGGGCCGGTGCAATGTTCCAGTACACTCTGCCGGTGCTAAATGCGCTTCTACAGTTGAGCGAACGTTCAATGCGGCCACGAGCGCACAATTTGTCTGTAGCAGCTCGACGAATGCGATGACATTGAAAGTGCGCTACCTTCAAGTCAGGCCGAGCGGCGGTGGCGCTCAGCAGAGAGGCTATTGAGAACATGTGATGACACTGTGTGCCTTTGCCCGAGTGTTTCGACGCTATGCTGGAGGACATCATTGCAGTAAGCTCAATTTTTGGCAACATTATAGGACCGCTTATCGCATCACGTATTACAAAGAAATCGCGGCGCAAGGTGCCTGCTAATGAGAAGCCCAACAGCGGACGACGCATGCAGCCGACGCAGCCGCGAACGGAGCTTCGTTTTTCACATTGACATGAGCATGCCCTGTTCCACTGCATTCAGTTCATACCGCTTTGATGCATTTGAAAATGTAAGTTTATTGGTGTTAAATGCGATGGTTTATTCTCGAGATAAGTATACGACAGTGAACGCCAATGGCGCGCGCGATAACGTAACCGAAACATGGCAAAAACGGGATGCGAAGTGAGTGCATTCGACCCGCTGGTCAGGCAGATTGGAAACAGAAATTAACCAGTGAAACCGATGCGTGCTACATCTATCTTTAACTGCAGCAAGTATATCATTTTGAACGTTTGGTGGCGCTGACCTCAGTATAAGCGAGCCGAGGCCACATGTCGGAGCGTTCAAGTTAAAGCTGCTGACGACTGTACCTTCAAAGTCTCATGCGTGCGTGAGATGTATTTTCGCCCTGCTGCTGCTGCTGCTTGGCGTACTTGCTCAATCTGCTGTCGCCCTGGGCGTGGGCAGAAATTATTATTCGGGAGGAGGGAGGGGGGGGGGGGGACTTGTTTGATCTGAAGTGCGGGCCGGGCAAGCAGATGTAGTCGAGTGTCATTTTGTGATCTCTGTGCTATCGTGAAACAAAAAAAAAAAAGAAAAAAAAGAGGGCGCATGGGCCCGGTGTGCCGTTAATTGGCTATGGATACGCCACTGACCCGTTTTCTTCTTTTTCTTTTGCTAAGCTGTGCGCCAAAATATGCCGCATGCTTTTAACCGCAATATGCAATGCAATAACAGGGTGAGCCGAACACGTTTTTCACTGCACATGGTGTAATCTGAAGTTCAGTAAGGTTGAGAGCTGGGCTAGTTGGTGAGACATCATTTAACCATATGGTGTAGTAGCGCAAAATTCACGGCGACGAAGAGGACAAGAAAAGTAGCGAGTGTCGTGTTTTCTTGTCCTCTTCGTCCCCGTGAATTTTGCGCTACTACACCATATGGTTAAATGGTGTAATCTGAAGTATGCTAAAATTGGTCAGAGAAGGCGGTACAGTTCAATAATGCAGTTCTATAATCGTTGGCAGCGGAACGAAAGAACAAAGGCTTCCTTTCAGGTAAATCCAGTTACCCATATGCAGTTCTAGCTGATTCCGTGGTGTGTTAGTTAAATTGCCCACCATATAGCGCTCCCCTGCCGTCCCCGGTGGCGCTTTCCTTTGGTGTACGTGCTTCTACCAAAGTGGTCAGCCTGCGTTGAAAAACGGATTTCCTTTAGTTTTGACATTGCGATAATGACCTGACCATATCTTTATGATGAATGTTTCTTATCGCTCCTCGAAGGCAGCGATTTTTTTCCAACCTTCCGCAGATTTTTCCCAACTCTTCCTGTCTTTCTATATATATTTAAACCGGCGTATATATGAATACAGTGTATACAGTCGAATACACTTATAAGAATCTTCAAGCGCTACGAAACTTATGTTGTTATAACCGATAATTGTTGTGAATGGGCTACACGAAATAAAACAAAATAGAAGGTTGGCAGGCTGTTGAGAGAAAGCAATCATAGAGGATGTGAGGATAATTTTTTGAGGATAAAAAGTATAATAAGTAATGATGATAATTTTTCGGACAATGAACTAAATTTGGACGCTTTCACGTTACCACCACAGACCTTATGGAGTTAATGTATTGAAGCTGAAGCTTTCGACACTGAAACTATTCCGGGTCTCACATGTTTACTCGAATTAAATGTCCGAAAGTCATTGAGAGAAAATCACCGCTGCTCTTGCGCCGTAGCGCAGTTTGAAAGCCAGCTTTGCCGCAATACTAAAATGCTATGCGGTAGAAGTGCTTGTGGATGTTGTGGTTTATGCGCAGGGGTTCAATTGCTTGAGTTTCTAGTTTTCTTCTTTCGTTAGGAGAGTTTCGTGTTCCATTACCCTTAGGCATCGACGCAAAAAGTCCGTAATTCATTGTTATAATCAATGATGTGCCAAGCGGGCATTGTTGTAAGCGACTTATTTCACCATGGAAAACATACAAAAGTGGACGGTACAGCAGCTTGTCATTGTTATAACGCATATATTGTTAGACCGGCATCGTTATAAGTTCATTCATGTGTATACATATACACACAGACATGTGCAGAGTTCTCCTTCAAGAAGGGCGAAGGCTTGTTTCAGCGCCCTCCTACTCCTACCTATTAAGTCAGTGCATGGGGCAGACTTTGACCCCCCCCCCCCCTACATGCACACTCCTATGCTAATACGTATAGCTTGTACGTGCACGCAGAAACATAACAAATAATCAGGTGCCCCCCTCTCCCCTCCAACTTATAATCCCGTCGACTCCCGTGATAATATACTTCGGCTGTCAGCAATAAATAAACCACTTTTCGAACTGTCAAACATCAGACACAACTTTCAGCAGCGCAATGCAGCCGGTCTTTTGCGTAGCCCATTCACTTATTTGGCACCATAAAAGCTTGTTTAGATGCGCTCTGTGGTGAACAAGTTTAAATAAAGTCCCAGTTTGCCTAATGCAGTATAATATATGTTAATTTCCTGGAAAGGAAATAATAAAAGAAAATAATTATTTGAAAGACAGAAAGAAAGATAATAAGTCAGCCAGAAGCGTGGAGAAACTTAGTGGGTCCTTAATACTCCTTGGTTCTTTGTCATTGACCTCTATAGGCAACACCGAGAATGTAAACTTATCAACAAATGTCTGAAGGAAACTGTAATAATTAAAGCCATAATGTTTATCGTACGCGAATATCAAGAAAAAACAATAGGTTAGCTTTTGCTCGCATTCGATTCGAGAATTCACTTTTTGAAATTGTTGGATCCTGGGGTCGACAACGTTTACAACCCACAATGGCACCGTTTATTGCGTTTGTGGGTGATACTGACCATGTGTCTTCTATTCAGAGTTATTTATCTTCAGCACAGGCGCGGGTCTTCTGAAGACACAGCGGTTCCTCAGCCTCTTAGAGAACGCGATAATTACGCAACTTTGCTGCCTCGCAAGGCTGAAATCTGAAGCTGTCGTCTCATGCTTTCATTCATCCTGTGTGTAAAGCGGTTGTTGAATACAAATTCACTCGTATGACCTCAAAATATTGTACCTCAGCTAAACGTCAAATAATGTTCGATTACCGTACCCATTTGCAAAGGTGGAAATGCGGGGGCTTTGGGGCGCTCGCCCCGCCCCACCTTTCGCGCGGCTTTATATGGGGGGTGGGAGGGGAGGGGCACGCTATAAGCTCATACGCCACGCGGGCCCGGGATATTTCTTGAGCTTAGGTTGGGGGCCCATCCATTGACAACGGCCTGTTAGCCCTTCTGTCTACCAGCTATTTCACAAGGGGCTGTTTACGCCCGCTTATTTTTCGTTTCATGCTTTGAAAGGTTGGATTATGAGCGAGTGACAAGTTAAACACTTAGTAGAAAATGCGCCTACTACGGATTTGTATGCATGCGCGGAATATGTTATATTGATGAAAAACAGAAACGCCTAAGCTATGTCAAGTTAAAAGAAGTCAATAATCGCGTAGCGACTGGTTTTCAGCAAACAAAAGTCCTTCAGAGAGTACAAACATCCCCGTGGCAGTCAGTCAGGATTGCTTTCGCACAAACTTGCTCGGCAGTAAAAGAAAGTGTAATTTCTCGGTTGTCTACAAATAGCTACGCTTCGACATAACTGCCCGGAAAAGTTCCAGGTACGCATTTTTTTTATTTATCAGAAAAACGTTTCACTACCAGTTCGATCACCGAAGAGTAACTCAACAGCTCGCCTAGGAAACGTTCTTTGGCAAATAATTTCGTAAACCCAGCTTCGCACAATGTGTAGTGGTAGTAGATGGCATTTCTTACCATCTAAGAATTATTTTGGCTATCTTAAATAAAATCCACTGGCGTAGCTAAAGCTTCATGCGCTTCTCTTCATCAGCGCTCTTTACTGTTTTGCGCATGTTTACACTTGAAAGCATGACAAGAAAAAGTCGGCAAACAAATGTCACACTGCCAGTTTCATACCCAACCAGACAGACTTCTGTCGAATGTTGCCATTCAAATGTCACGCTTTGTGGGAAGCGATTTCATGTCAAGCAGTCAGTGAGTAGCAACCTAAAAGGCCTTACGTAGTACCTGGACGTCTTTGCGTCTTTGTAGTAATCAAAAGTAAATCTGGAGTTTCCCAAAGGAGATTGTCATAATTATCATGGTGTCAGCAACTAAGAGCGTAAAGATATATTAAATTCTTTAATTTATAATTTGAAGTATCTTTCTCATATATATATATATATATATATATATATATATATATATATATATATATATATATATATACGCAAAAAAGGGAAATCTCACATTTCCCGCAGCGTGATTAAAAAAAAAAAGGAAACGTTGTTCGCGAAGCACATTCAGTACATATTGTTCCTAGAAAGTATGTTGTAATATCCGCTACTATTTGTTCGTTAATGACGTTTAGTTAATTAGTCCTTACTATGTTACTAACTCAACAAATACTCACCGGTGTCATTAAAATGTGAATGAGGCATATGCAGGCATATTCAAATGACATCAAGCTACGCTAGTGGCAAGAACGTAGTAATTGCATGCTGAGGTTTTTTTTTTTTTTTGCTAATAAAGCCAACAAAATCTGACAAATGACACGTGACTAGACTGCAGCGCGCATCAGGAAGCAGCGCTCTCAAACAGAATCGCTGTGAGGTACCAAGTCAAGACTACTCTTCCAGCTTTACCGTTTGGGAGCGTATTCGTATTGTACGGGCTATCTTTAACAGCCGGTAAATAAGTGAGCACGTAATTAGTACATTGCTGAAAATAGCGTGTTTCAATGTAATGTGAGCATGCTTAGATATATCTCATTGTCATTCTAATGATTAGGTGAGT